TGGGCAGCACTGGGTTGGGATGTTTTCTTGATGTGCACTTACCTTTTATATAAAACTCTCTCTTATACATATGAGTTTCTGTGGATTTGTTTCTCGAATGTACCCAGACTAACACACAGCTGATAGTGTCTCCTTGGGAGTGGGGCCTTCTCAAAGAAAAGACCCTGGGAACCTCCCTTCTCTTTGTCACATTGCCTTCCCACTTGATGGACTCTCAGTCACTGACCTTGAGAGCTGCTGGAGCCCTGCCATGTTTCCTCTGACTTTGGATCCACATGACCCTGCACCTACTTGCCTGTGATCTTCCTGCATTCTGCATCATTGCTTGAGATTGCGTTGAGTCTGAAGAGGGATTTATGGACTTGTATAAGACTTCTGATGTATGATTGCTTCTTTAAATAAAGCTCTTTATTATACATGAGTGTCACTGGCTTTGTTTCTCTAGCTAACCTGGCCTAAAAAAGGCAGGAAAAGTTAGGAAGGCCTTCAAGAAGATGGATTTACACTGTGGCTGCAATAATGGGCTCAAGCATGGGAACAATTGTGAGGATGATGCAGGACTGGGTAGTGTTTTGTTTTGCTGTGCGTAAGGTCACTATGGGTCAGAGGTGACTCGATGCCACTTAACAACAATAACAACTACAATGAGGTGACTGAAAATATAATGGTTTGGATCAGGTGCACCTCAGTCCTTAAAGTGATATCCTTGTTTTTTAATATTTTAAAGAGATTTGTGTGCATCGGATTTGCCCAGTACAAAATATCCCTTGAGTTCTTAATCACTGCTTCTATGACCATTGATGGTGGATCATCCAAGCAAAATGAAACCCTTGACAACCTCAGTCCTCTCTGTTTAACATGATACTGTCTATTGGTCTAGTAGTGAGGGTTTTTTCTCTTCATTTAGTTCCGTTCATTCTGAAGGCTGCAGTCTTTGATTTTCATCCGCAAGTGCTTAAAGTCCACTTTGCTTTCAGCAAGCTAGGTTGTACCATCTGCCTGCATATAACAAATTGTTAAAATTTCCACCAATCCTGGTGCTAAGTCCTTCTCTATACAGTCTGGCTTCTCAGAGTATTTGCTCAGCATAGAAACTGAATCTATATGATGAAAGAAGACAGCTCTAAAGCACATCGTTCCTGATCTTTAACCAGCCAGGATTCCCTCGTGCTGTTCCAATCACTGTCTCATTGTCCATATATACAGGTATTGTATAAGCTCAGTGAATTTTGCTGGAATTCCCATTTATCTTTATGTTATCCATCCTTTGTTATGATTCACACAGATGAATGTCGTCTTTGCAAAGTCAATAAAAGAACTGATTATAATGAGCTTCTTAATATCTCAAAAGTCTACCAGTATCATTTCAACTGGATTGACTGAGTGACTTAGGACTCAGAACTACACACGATAATTGCTTATTGTTTTAATGAATGGGTAACTTTCTGTATTATATCCCTGCCTTAATTTTCTCATCCTCTCAACATGTTCCAGATTAATCTTTTATTTAAAACCATGCATTCTGCATGTCACTCTCTTGGAAATTTCAATGACTTCCAATCTTGGAAAACTTCAGCAACTTCCAATATTTTCCAACAATGTTTCCCAAATCTGACCTTAAATCTCTTTGGGGGATTAATCCCCAGAACAAATGAAATAGAATCTCAGGAAACAGGACTATAGATTCAGAATAATTGATAATTTATAAAACAGAAACATCCACTAATTAGAATTATTTTACTGAAGGATCAGTGTATAGATGGTCTCAAACAAGCATAGAAACAAGCAACAACAACAAACTTATTGTCATTGAGTCAATTCCAGCTCATATTGTCCCCATGAGATAAAGTAGAACTGCCCCATAAACTTTCTGAAGCTGGCAATATTTATGGAAGCAGACTGCCACATCATTATCCTGTGGAATGGCTGCCTTTTTGTTAGCAACTGAGGCTAAGTTTGGAATCACTGGAACACTAGAACCCCTGAAAACAGACAAAAGAGAAAGGGTGTAATACCACCTTGCCAGTACACATATATTTTTAAGATCTCAAACAAGTGATTCTAGTGAAGCACTGAGTCACAAAAAAATATTCCTGATGGTGACAATCACAAATCTTTATAACATTGCCGGAATCTCTTAAAACCGTATTACTTCAACCTTTTACATGAAAGCTCTACTTTAGTCGTATATGTGTATCCACTGAATGTGTCTTACACTTCGCTGTGTCTTTGATTTACTCACAGAACAGAGTGATTATGACAGAGTTCAATTCTGCTTCACATCAATTTAATAGATAATAAAACACTAAGGAGCTATTAACATGCTCAACCAATTGCACAGATTTTTCAATGTTTGTGAACTTTCTAGGACATCTACGTTTGCTTTCCAATTTATGATACCTAGACCACAAAATGACACTGAATTATAGTGCAAAAAGAGAAGTTAAAATAATGGAATAGAAATAAGCAGAAAGTAATCCTTAATACTTGTCTGAGAGAGGAAGAAATACTGAAGGAAAGAGAGTAGTTATATACATCTATAAACTTGTTAAGACCTCTTGTTTTGTGAATTTCTACCTTGCCTTTCATGAAGTGCAGTTTCATTCTTTACAAAATGCGAGGACACATCGACCAAAGAAATGACTGAAATAGGTTGAAAAAGAATGATCTCTAAGAATTATGTAAAGTAACTATTTCTCCACTCCATAGAGCTCTTTTTTCTCCACGGTGTTTCAAATGTTCTCAGTCACCTTTTGCATCGAGTTTCTACACAGAAAAACTATAAAAGAAAAGTATATGATGTAAGAACCAATAAATGTATGTCTAATGTGTGTTCTATCAGGAGAACTTAGCATACATATAAAGGTCATTGGTGGAAGGATGACTAATCACTGTTAGGTAGACTCATGGCTGGATGAGCCATTATTTCCATAGCTAAATAAGAGGGAAGCTTTGGGTCTTTGGATTATATTATAATTCCAGAATCTGGATCAGTCTACATGTGTGTCCTGAGCATCCCTCCACATTAAGATACCCAGTAATAGGATAATATGATTTTATAATGTTTTACACCAACCTGGATTAGAGTGATTCATGAACTCTTAAAAGAGTGTCCCACAATCTCTGGGTACCCAGAGACAGATATTTAGCTCCAGAGTGCCCCTTTGAGCACTTCTCTTTCATACTGCATCCAATGTCTCTTGGTGGACAATTGCATTTTAAAACTATTCTAAAATTTGGGGATCCAGATTGTATTAGTTTCATAACATATTGATCCTCTCAGTTTTGGAGCCTAGAGTTCTGAAACCAAGGAGACATCGGGGTCATTCTCCCTCTGAAAGGTATTTGGAAGAATGTTTCCTTCCTCTTTCTCTTTTCTACTCTACCAAGCCTTGGTGTCCCTCGGCTTTCAGCTTCTTTATTCCAGTCACTGCTTCTGTTTTCATATGATATTTGTCCTCACTGTCACTGTCTCCATATTGCTCTCTCTTTAGTAGGTTACCTATTTTAGGATGTAAAGTCCACTCTAATTCAGTGTACCCTCAGTTTCAGGTCATTAAATCTATAATAATCTTGCTTCCATACTAAGCTGGCAGGGGAGATACCATGAATCATGAAGGCGGCTTTGCCAGGGCGAGGATTATCCCTTGCATTCCGGATGTACTTACCCCAGCGACTTCCCCAAATGTGGGAAACTCGACTGTATAGTTTGTGGTGGGTGGGGACAGTTTGCAATCTCCCCTGTATTTAAAAAGAAAATAACAGTAATCTTGCTTCCAAATAGTCACATTCACTGGTCCCAGGAGTTAGGACGCTTCTTTGGGGAAGCACATCAATCCACTAGCCAAAGACTTTCAAAGAATACAGGACTCCAACCGGGAAGATATATATACATATCCATGTTCAAACTATTAGTTTCTCAATAAATATTCATGTGAATCTGTTAGGTAATCTGGGAACCTATGAACCTATTAAATTATGTGACAAAAATAACTTTACAGATATAATTAAGTTAAAGACCTTGAGATAGATTATTCTGGCTTATCTGAGTGACTCCAATTTATTTATATGAATCCTTAAAAAGTGGAGAATTTTTCCTAGCTGCTGTCAAAGAAAGAAAAGCAACAATGAAGGTGGAGCTAGAGAACATAATATTATTGGCTTTGGAATTGAATAATGAGGATACGAGCCAAGAAACACAGGCTATCTCTAGAACAGGAGTCCTCAAACTTTTAAAACAGGGGTCCAGTTCACTGTGCCTCAGACTGTTGGAGGGCCGGACTATAGTTTTTTAACAAAAACTATGAACAAATTCCTATGCACACTGCACATATCTTATTTTGAAGTTAAAAAATGGGAAAAAGTACAATATTTAAAATGAAGAACAATTAAAGTTAAATCAACAAACTAACCAGTATATCAATGGGAACTGTGGGCCTGCTTTTTGCTAATGAGATGGTCAATGTCCAGTTCGATATGTGTCACTGCTAGTTGTAACAAGTGATGCAAGTGTGCATTAGTTAGTCTAGATCTGGTTGGAGATTTCAAATGTTTCATTCTGGAAAAAGTCTGTTCACAGATATAAGTGCTGCCAAAGATGGTTGCCATTTTGAATGCATGGTTCCTGAGATTAGGATATGTCTCAGACAGGAGAGATTCATAGAAATTAGGAAGGCTGCTTGACTTGAATGAGTCTTTCAGAGAGTCACAATTCTGCAGCTCACCCAGTTCCATTTGGTAAATTGTATCCACATTTTCAATGTCAATAGAAAATGGGTTACGGAAAATCTGTATGTACTGTTCATGGAGATGAAGCTCTTTAAATCTAAATTGGAACTCCTTTTGCAACTTTTCTAGTGAATCCACACGTGTTTTGTTTGGGAATGCACCCAATGGTTTTTCTGCTAACAGATTTTGAGTTGTGGGGAGATGGCAGAAATTTTCCTCCTTCACTTGTTTGATGAGGAGGCCTAATTTTACTTCGAATGCTTTCACATGTGATTGCATATCACAGATGAGCTTCCCCTTTCCTTGAAGTTGCACATTGCAACTGTTGAGTAGTTCTGTTACATCTGCCAGAAAGGCAAGGTGCCATTTCCATTCTGCATCATTGAGCTCTGGTACTTCTTTGTTTTTTGAAAGCAGAAAAGCTGTAATCTGTGGAAGTAAGTCATGTAAATGTTTCAAAACTCTCCCTCGACTCAGTCAATGGACTTCTGTGTGGTACAGAACATCTTCATAGGCAACATTTAGCTCAGACAGAAATTCCTGAAATTGTCTGTGGTTTAGTGCATTTCCTCTAATGAAGTTAACATAAGATACCACAAAACAGAGTCCTACTTCAGTAATTTACTACACAGCACTTGTTGGTGGATGAGGCATTGTATGGCTATTGGATGAGAATGGTTATGTTTGCCATCTCTCCGTTAATGTGAGCAATTACTCCTTTCTTAGACCTCACCATGAGAGGAGCATCATCAGTTGTCACTGGCTAGTTTAGCCCAGTCCAGCTCCAAACCATTCACAGTTTGGCTAACCTTTTCATAGATATCCTCTCCTGTAGTTGTTCTTTTGATGCTTTGCAGTGCATCAAAAGTGCAGCAAGCTCTTCTGTGACTTCGAAATAGTCTTTAATCCCACAAATAAAAATTCGAAGTTGTGCATAATCACGAACATCATTACTTTCGTTGAGTGCCAAGGAAAAATAGGAAAGTTTTTTTGCGGAGTTTTGCAAATGCTGATGCAAATTGTTTCCCATTTCTTCAACCCTTCGTAATTGTAGGTCCTGAAAGACTCACTGTACTAAATAAATCGGCCTTCTCTGGACACATCTCTTTGGCAACAGAAAGACAGCATTCTTTAACAAATTCTCCCTCAAGGAATGGTCTGCCAGTGCACACTCTTAGCTTGACAACTTGAAAACTTGCTTGCAGTGATAAAACATTTAGCTGCTTCTGCTTCACAAAAGTATTTTGCTGAGTTGTCAATGTATTTTTCAGTTTTAATATTTTATCTTTTCTCTCTTCTCCGACCAAACAATCATATTTATCTTTATGTTGAGTTTGATAGTGTCGATGCAAATTGTATTCTTTGAACACAGGCACTGTATTCTGGCATATCAAACACATAGCTTTCCTTATACTACATGAAAAAGTAATCACAAGTCCACTGTTCTTTGAATATCCTACACTCTGAGTCAATTTTTCTCTTTCTTGATATTGTTTCCTAGGGATTCCAAATTGCTATTAGTAAAATACCAATATACATATATATCTATATACAGCACTACACAAATAATATACCAGCAATAACTTTGCCCACACAGACATATAGACTGCTCTGCCCATTAATGCAGTCTGCTCAGTACCCATCAATGCAGTCTGATCAGTGTCCATCAATGCAGCCTTGCCAGTCCACATCATTTCAGCCTCACCAGTGCCCATATTGGTGGAACTCCGCTTTTACCTCAGTCTCACACTGCTCTGGTATGGGAACTGACACGATTACAGAGCCAGTTCCTCCACCACCTTTCCAGTTCACACTACCTGTGTGAACCACACTGTGATCTATGAACTCACACAGGAATCTGATCGCATGCGTGGGAAGACCCATGTGATCAGATTCCACTGCAGAAAAAAAGAAGGCACGTATGCCTTTTTTCTTCTGAATCTAATGGGTTTATCCATACAAGCATATGGCTGATCTCACACTACTCAGAGATTGCAACAGTGCGAACCGGGGCTTACACAGCACACAACATACACATCATACACAACTGAATAGTAATCTGAATATACATGCACTTACTGTCAGTTAAATAGGGTTTCTTACTCCTCGGCTGTCTCCAGAGCTGGATTAAGTTCCCATGGGGCTCTAGGCAGATTACAGTTTGGGGCCCCCAGGTGATAACACTGAACACTGACCATTTGCATTAACACTGACCACTGACCATTTGTGATTAGACTGACTGCTGACAATTTGCATTCATACTGAGCACTGGCCATTTGCATTAACACTGAGCATTTACAAGTATCATTACCACTGAGCACTGACTATTTGCATTACCTCTGAGCACTGACACTTTGCATTAGCACTGAGCACTATTTGCGTTATCACTGTGATGCAACCCCCTAGAAACCACCCCCAACCAACTAACTAACTTTGAAAAAAAAGACCTCCTAACTTCAGAAAAAAGGCCCCCCTTAACTGCAGAAAAGGCTCTACTAACTGTAAATTTAAAAAAAAAAGATCTCCGAACTTCAAAAAAAAAAAATCCTAACTTGTTCTTACCTCAGTCCTCAGGCAACAGCAGGCTCTGCACAGTCAAGCTTGTGACTCCTCTGATAACACCCGAGACTGAGAGGAGGAATCGAAAGACAGAGAGAAGGAAGGGAGTTGGACAGCGCTTGCATTGCGGCCCAGGATGAGTCTGCTGCTAAACCGTACAGGCAGCAGAGGCAAAAACACCCGGAGGGCCTGATAAATGTCCTCGGCAGAGAGCATGTGACCCGCGGGCTGTAGTTTGAGGACCCCTGCTCTAGAAGCTGTGAAAGTCTCTGTCTAGAGCAGTGGTTCTCCACCTTCCCAATGCCGCGACCCTTTCATACAGTTCCTCATGTGGTGGTGACCCCCCAACCATAAAATTATTTTCATTACTACTTCATCACTGTAATTTTGCTACTGTTATGAATCGAGTGGTCCCTGTGAAAGGGTCGTTCGACACCCAAAGGGGCTGCGACTCACAGGTTGAGAACCACTGGTCTAGAGAGACAGGGATCCTTTCCTTTTGTTACTATTGTGTGCTGTTGAGTTGATTCTGATTCATACTGATCACCTCGGACAGAGCGGAACTGCCCCATAGAGTTTCCAAGGCTATCATCTTTCTAAGAGCAGATCTCCAGGGCTTTTCTTCCTCAGAACCACTGGGTGAATTTAAACTGGGGAAGCTTTGGTTAGTAGCTGAGCACTTAAGCTTTCTGTCATAAAGACTTCAGTCTTTTCTTCTCCTTGACTTTAACACAGTGAAATTGAGATTTTTGACCTTCAGAATTCTAAAACATTAAATTTATGCTGTAGTAGGTCAATATTTTTTTTAATAGTTTGTTACTGCAAAAAAAGAAAACAAATAAAAACACTTGCCTTGCCATTGATTTCCAGCAGGAGGAGGCAGAGGAAGTCTCCCTCTTTAGATCATTTATTCAGGACTAGTTGGTGAGGGGTACAGGCATTGTTACTTTATTTACTCTCCTCGGGGAAATTGTGGTGTCCAGGCTTTCATTAGGTTAACAATTACTAAGTAATTTTCTTTTAAAATAGCATTTTTATTGAACTGTGCTTGATGTAATAGGATTCACTCAGAGAGTATAACTCAATGTGTGTGTGTTTTAAGCACTATATTGTAATTTTAGAACATTTTAATTCACTCAACAACAAAAAATCCACCCCAAACAAAAATACAAAGCAGTTTTTATTAGTAATCTGTATGTGGGGGTAGGGGGTGGAGTTGTTTGCTTTTTACGCGAATGAGAGGACCACTACCTTCCAAAGGTCATGGCCCGTGGAAGAATGCCAATGGCTCCGCCATGGGGGCTGATGAAGCAATGCTGGCCCCTCTGTCGGCCTGAGATAAATGGACACTTGCCTCCTGTTCCCTGTCTAAAGCTGCAGAAGTCAGCAGTCTGCAAACTGATCAGTTACTTCATGTTTCTGCCCTCATCCTCTCCGCTGTGAATAACTTGGCTGAT